TTCTCTTGTTCAGCTTTCTCTTTTGCAAGCTTTGCCCTCCTGGTCTTCTCTTCTATTTCTCTTCTCTTATTGTTTTCTTTCACTGCTTCCTGTACATATAAATAAAGTCAAATGAAAACCATTCCATTACTTATATCATGAAGAAGTTGTACAGTTTTAAAATTATATAAATATGCAGAGATGGGAAGGTATTATAGCAGTCTCAAGGTGTATGCATACACTTTTGAGAGAGACAAATAATTAATCATGAGACATCTTTTCTTGAAAAAAAATTTTGAAATAACTCAGTCTTCAATTGCCATTACCTGGAGTGCCAGAAAATTAGGGACATCAAGGTTATAGATTTAATAGTAAATATACTTTCACCATTGTTGAAATATGAAATAGTTTTGATACATAAGAACAGGCTTAATATGGAAATATGGCTAAGCAAGTATTTTTACCCCTTTAGTATATATTTTTCTGTAATCTGCAAAATTGAGATTAAAAAAAACTACCTCATAGGATTTTTGTGAGGAAAAATGAGATACATATATAAAGTACTTAGAACAGAGCCTGATATATTATAATCAAGAAATTTTACTCAATGATAGTGATGGTGGAGGTTGGGGTGCTAGTGACAATGATTCCATCTAATGATGCATGGCATGAAACTATCAGCAATATTATCACAGAAAAGGCATACCTGCAAGTTTAATATTCATATTTCCTCAAAAACACTGTAGGCTTTTAATCAATTTGTCTCTGGCTATATTTATATGCCAAGATATTTAGAAATGCGGAAACATATTTCAAGCTACTCTCTGTTTTATTTTGGATAGATTATTTGTGGTACTCAAGTGAATGAGTGCATGCCAGTAGATGGTATTAGAGAAAGTTACATTAAAGTGATCACCTGGTAATAAGACTATCAACTTCCTTTGAGTTCACACAAGTCACTAATGCAGAGACATATCAACTGCAAGTTCCTTCCATCAAGTTGCTCTGTTTTTTTCCTATTATGATTGATTAGATATACTCCATAGCATGTACAAACTATTTCACAAAAACGATCTTGTTCCAAAAAGCCTAAAGAAAAAGACTCAATTACAAGAATACATCTACAAGGCTTTGCCTGGAGGAGTTTATATTGAAATATTTTTTTCTTCATGTTAAAAGACACAAGAGTTTAAAATAGCGCTGAAAACACTTCCAAAAATCTCTGGACTTGCAAGAATTGACTTCCTCCTACAAAATCTAAATGATTTTACCTTCATTGGTACCTCCCCTTTCTACTGTCCTTGTTAGGCTAATACCCCTAGCAATAGGTTAAGAGCACAAAACTACCTGGCTACTGCAGACAAACTCAAAGACTACAACTTAAAATAAACTGGCATAGTAGAATCATAATTTTGAGCTGGGTTTCTCAACCTCAGCATTAGAGTCATTTGGGGCTAGATAATTCTTTGTTGTGGGGGCTCTCCTACACACTGTGGGATGTTTAACAGCATCCCTGGCCTCTACCCACTAGACGCTAGTAGCATTCCTCCCCAGGTGTGACAACGGAAAATGTCTCCAGAGATTACCAACTGTCACCTGGAGAGCAAAATTGCTCGAAGTTGAGAACTACTAACTTAGAGGGTTTCATAAAGATAATTTATTCACAAAAAAATTACATAATACCTACTCTGCTAAACCAGGCTTCCTTTACAGATGTGGAAACTGAGTTCCAAATAAGTTTAAATACTTGTCTAAGGTCACACATTTATATACCTGCAAGGTTGGAAAGAGAACCCATGTCTTTTCACTCCTAGTTTAGTGTTTGTTTTATTCTTCAAGGAAGAAAAGACAACGTGGAAGTGACACCAAAAGAATAAGTAACAACGACAAAAAATAGATAAATAAGACATCATCAAAATTAAAAACTTGTTCATCAAAAAACACTGTCAATAAAGTGAAGAGACCCACAGAAGGGGAAAAAATATTTGCAAATCATACATCTGATAAGAATGTATCAAGAACTCACAACTCAACAATAAAAAGACAAATAACCCTATTAAAATGGGCAAAGGTTTTGAATAGATATTTTTCTAAAGAAGATAAACGTATGACCAATAAGCACATGAAAAGATGCGCAACATCATTAATCGCTAGGGAAATGCAAATCAAAAGCACTTCACACTCACTAGGATGGCTATAATTTAAAAAATAAAAACATATATTGAGTAAAGATGTAGAGAAATTGGAACTCTTGTGCATTGCTGGTATGAATGTAAAATGGTGTCCATTTTGGAAAACAGTTT